CAGCGAGAGGTGTCAGACCGGTACCGGGGGTGTGCGCGTCTGGTGCAAACCCGGAGCTGGGAGGAAGAAATCCCAGCGGGCCGTTAGGGTCCTGCGGTCAGGGATTAGGGAGAGAAGGCTGGCTCTCGGATGACCAGGTGCCTGGGTCAAGTCAAAACCGGTCAGCTCCACAGCCTCCCCTGTGCGTTTGAAGGTTTCCAAACGGGAAGTCCCTCTAAAGGCTGAGATGTGATAAGTAAATAATCACTTGACCTTCCCTGCCCCCGGTAGATACACTGCCATCCAAATATTCAGTGTCTGTGCAAAAAATAATTCTAATCTAAATTTCTTGTCTTCAGGGTAACTCTTCGTGAGATGTGTGTATTTGTAAGGACGCTTGGACCTATTGGTTTTAAGTCTGTTTTTTCATATCTAATACATACTTGTTCCATATGTAATTTTTTTTTTCAGTTATGATGGTAGACAGGAAACTTGGGAAACGGGACCAATGTTCTCCCAACATCCCTCTGCCCAAATAACTTAAATAACTTTCAAATCCATCTGTCACTTTCAACCAGGCTCCACAGCAGGATGTCACACAGTTAAGCTTTCTATAAGCAACAGTTTGGTGGGGGGAAAAAACGTAGTCCAAAAAACGTAGTTCTGTTGTTGGGAAAGAGGCTCGAGTATAAGCGCCGTGGCTGTACGCTGGTTTTAGCCAGCTGTTGGACCATCAGTATATTTGGAGCAAGGAAGGAAACCTTTGTCCACCTTTGCAAGCAGCTGTGTCTGTAAGGAGAAGTGTTTGGTTCTGAGTATCCAGTGTGCACGTGATTTGTATTTTTGAGGGACTAACTGTGGTCTGATTTTATGGACGGAATTCTCATTAGGACCACATCTTTCAATTTACTGTGATACAAAATAGATCCAGTTTGTGTACCTTGCCCTTTAAAGCAACCCAAAGCACAGTAGGTGAGGATGGGTTGAAGAATTGCTTCAAAAACAGGCTCCTGATCTGAGCTTACGCACTGATTTAGATACACCAGCCTCTTGCTGTTCTTGAGCAATATGGAAAGGGGAAGGGGTTTGGGGAACTTTGGAGCAAAAGGAACTGGATGTATTGCTGTTGTCAGGAAGAGTGTTTGGGGATGTTAAGAAAGGAACAGGAGGTAAGGTTACTCTGGTACAGTGGCATGGATGTGGCCAATATGCAGAAAGAGGACACATCTCCTTAGGCAATAAAGCTTTAGTAAATTTGTTTTCCCTTCCTCAAAGAAGTGCCATTCAAGTTTTCATGTGCTCACTTGGTGCAAAATTTATTTATTTATTTATTTACTTATTTTTAAAGAAACATAGTTATATACCCAAATATAGATACCTTTCTTTGTGCTGTTTGTCTAAACTCTCTTTAATGGAGAGTAATACGCACTTCTAAAGCGTTTTTCAGTGTGTTCTAAAGTAGATAATAGATGAGACAAATCCACCCTGGCATCCAGTGTCACAGGTAAAGGTATAAATCTGTACTAATGGATCTTTTTAAATTTGTTTTTGAAGTAGCCTGTTTGCTGTGTGATGTTGACGGTAGTTATCAATCACTTCTGCTGATCTATTCAGAGGATGTTTTTCAAATTTAAATAGTTTTGCACTGTAAGTCACTTGCCCTGTGAAAGATGCCTGAGATTTAGCAAAATCTTAGTTCATTCATGGCCTACAAGTTATTGGCAATTATGGATCTTTGACTTTTGATTCTTTTGAGCTTTTAAGTATTTTATGTTATGCAAAGGACATTTGAATGAATCCATTGCATAGTCTCTTAATTAGTCAGTGGTGGTATTTTATGAAGTGATGGGATGAATTCTGCATCCCTGAAATTAAATGGGAACAGAATTGAGCTTACCGTGATTTGAGACTGCTCAGGTAAATAAGAGGTGTAACTTGGGTTTATGTGGAAATGTTGATTTGGTGGTGTTTAACTGAAGCTGTAAAATCCTGCTGGCAAGGGAGAGGAGTACCTAGTTTCCATTTAATTCATTGGAAGGCTAATGCTGATTAACAGCGTACTCAAAGTGGGAAACAGATGACCTGTATGTAGAAAACTGAGTCTACTGTGGTTGTTTGAAACTAGATAACCTGAATTTAGTTCAGATGGATCACTCATTGAGAAAGTCAGTTAAAGAAACTGCTTTCTAGCCTGTGCTGGCCTATAATGCTGTAAAAGCTTTGGGAGCTCAAAACATTTACCATTTTTTCCCCTTTTTAAACAGGCACTACTTCGCACTGCCCACTAATCCCGGTGAGCAGTTCTTTATGTTTTGCACGCTTGCCGCTTGGCTGATCGCTAAAGCGGGACATCCCTTCGAACAGCCGCAAGAATATGATGACCCCAATGCAATAATATCAAATGTACTCTCAGAATTGCGATCATTTGTAAGTGTTGAACATGCTGTTTTCCCAAGTGTATTTCAAGCACATGCATCAACTTCAGAAATAACTGTTATAATACACTTCCTCTCTTGTCTGATTATATTCCCAAGGACTGGACAGCGTTCTCCTATCTATAAGTTTGTACTGTGTTCATTAGTTAATTGGAAGTTTATACGGTCTATACCTACTTGCTAATTTTTTGGCACTACAAAAATGGTCTTGCAGTATTATATATGATTCCAGTTAGTTTTGTTCCACAGTCTGTAAAATGGATTACATCAGGCTTACTTCTTGTACTGCCACATATGTTGCTCATTATAGTAGTATAATTTACAAAGACTTTATCTGGAAAGTTTACACAGTGCTTGTGATCCTGCTGCTGCCAAACTCAATGGTATTTCATAGTGGTAATTCATAGTGGTAATTCATAGTGAAGGAAATGGTTTAGAATTGTGTTCGTGTTTTCTTCATTTTTTTGTTAAGGAGTAAAAGGTTGCATAAACTGCCAGCAACTATTGGGATTTTTTTTTCGATATTAAAATCCCAAAGGTCAGGAGAGTTTATCGACTTACGGGAAGCATGATCTTATGGAAGATTGTACTGTAGTGCAGCTGTGAATGATGTTAAGAACACTGTTCTCTAAAGGAGTTAAACCATAACAAACCAAGATGTTTATTCTGTAGAAGAGCAATAAATAAAATACTCTGTAAATAAAATCTGGAACAAACAAGGCAATGTTGAAAAGCTGGTGGTTAAGTCTCAGTACCTGAGTTTCTCCATAGCTGTTCTTACCTTGCCAGCATGTCACTTGTGTGCATGACCATCTAGCTACCTTGCAGCTTCTGACTCTTCTGCTCCCTGCAAGTACCCTCTTACAGATACTTTAAGATTTCTACACTGCATCTGTTCTTGGGTTGTTCTGTTTTCCCTTCTGTTGCCTGACTGGAGCTGCATAAGGGAAGAGTATGAATTAACATCAGTAAAATCTTCATACAGAATGGACACTTTAGTTTTAGTGTAAAAAAATCTTTGTTACCTCCCCGAGAGGAAACTCGAATTGATGGGCAGCCATTAGTAAACAGCGTATCTCTTTATTTTAGGGAAGACCTGTGGATTTTCCTCCCTCAAAATTAAAGGCAGGTTACGGCGAGCAAGTGTGCTATGTTCTTGATTGTTTAGCTGAAGAAGCCTTGAAATACACTGGCTTTAGCTGGAAGAGGTATGGTACACTTTTAAGCATCCTCCCTTATGCATTGGTTTCCAGCAAACAAATGTAAGTTGTAATTGTAAAGAAAACAGAGTAATGACTAAAAATGTTTTACTTGATGTTTCGTGAGATGCAAAATTCAACCAGACTTGAAGTAGCAGGACCAATTAATTCTTAATGCAATTTCACACAATTTAGTCTATTACCAACATGGATGAGTTTGGGCCATTAATAGACTCAGCTAATTAATAAAGATTTGACCGATGACTTTTTTTTAGTCATTTTCGTATGCATAACTGCTTGTTAATCTGGCAGTTGAGTTGAAACATTTAATGTCCTTTTAGGTCCTATCAATCAATAGCTAAATTCTTGACCTCTTCAGTTGGAGGTGTGCACAATATGTGATCATGTTACAAGTAGGCTACAGTAACTTTGAGTATTTAATCCGAAGGAAATCTTAGGAGAAATTAGATGACAGATAATTTCACGTATATGAACATTTCTTTAAAAGTGTTCTTTATTTAATTCCTTCCCTCTGATGGGTTTTGAAATGGATATAGTGAAGTAATTTCTACCTTGGAAATATTTTACTGTTACTTCTGTTTAGTATACAAATGTCACTGTAGGCTGAAAATAAGTCTGTGGTGACCTGCACTTGAATTTTGAGAGGTTAGACCAAAAGAGAAAACAAATAAAAATTTACTCCCCAGATGTGTTTGTAGCATGAATATACTGTACTGCTTGGCACAATAACTAACCCTTACTTTTAAGACAGTCCAAGATAAACAAAGACTTTTAAGGCTGAGTGTTAATTTTATTTGTTTAAGTGTGTGAGACGCTAATCACTCTCTAGGCATATCGCACATCATCCCTACTTCTCATGAAATGTTTTGTTTGTTCAGGAGTAATTTACAGAGGTATTTGAACTAATTTCAGGCCAGCATATCCAAAAGAAGAGCTCGAAGAAGAAGAAATAACAGAAGATGCTGCAGAATTAACACTTAATAAACTGGAAGAGGATGTTGTGGTAGGTTTACGTGACTGGTTTTGATTATATTAGTATTGGTCAACTGTGAGGAAATTTTACTCAGTTTGTTTTGTTTGGCTTTATTTAAGAAGTCTTTTCTATTAGATGTTCAATTTCCCTTTTTTCCTGCATCTCCATTGCTGCATCATCAGCTTCTCTGTAGAGTTTTTTTGTTTCCTTTCAGATAAGGTTGCTAACTCTTCGGGACATAGCATATGTTCTTAGGTGCATTTAATGTAAAGTGAAGTGGAATCTAACCAGACATTAAAATTAAATAGATTCAGAATTGTTTCCTACTGATACAAGCTGTTGATGTTAAACAAAACTTCAATCCCTGTTTACAGAATTGGCTAATATTTGGTTGAAATTTGCCCAGCGTTTAATTAATAGAGTGCTCACTACTGTAACTCAGATTTCACTGCAAATAGGAAACAGTAACTTGGGTACTTAGTTGGTCTAAAAATTTGGGAACAGAGTAGACAGAAAAGAACAACTGGAAACAGAGCATTTGTTTAAAAACACCAACAAGACCTAAATAAAGGTTGCAGAATTGTTTCTGTAGACAAAGGTCACAGCAGCTCATCGCTATATGTTCCGTGAATGAAATGGTGATATCCCATCATCTGTTCTGACTGCAGAGTAAGTCTTTCTGCATGCTTTGAAATACATTTTACCAACAAGATGGCAATGTTTGAGGATCGCCTGTTATTTATTACTGCTTTTTAACTATAATAATTACAGTGAAGTTGTCAGGTCTATGAAACAGCTCATGAAATACCCGTAAGTTCAAATATGCTTTTAGGGCTTACTCATGGATGGATGTTGAACAAAAGTTGTTACTTGCTGATTGACTTTCTCAGAAGATTGTTTCTGAGAGGTGGAGTCTCCATGTAAACTGGTAGCATAACGTGACCACAAGACATTGTAATTTTCACAGGCCACTCTCCTCGAAGTAAGTCTTCTTACTGCTGACTTAAAGAAGATTTTTCTGGAGGGAAGTTAGCTGAAGACCACTAAAGTGAAAATTACAAAACAAAGTTAGTTTCACATCTGATTTCTCCAAAAGCTGATGATTCTGTGCAAAATAAATGTAGATCAAAACCAAAATACTGAAAGCTGTAAGCCTGGAAGTGCTTACTTGCTATGTCAGTAAATTACAGGAGAAAACAATTTTCTGGAGTGTTAAGGCCCAGCAATACTGGGTAGAAAATGCCACAACTATCCTATTTTTGTGTTCACATTTTTCAAGCGTGTGGGAAAAATTGGAAATGACAAAAGTTGGAAATACAGTGCCAGTAATGCTGCCATATGGTTCTGATTATAGTCCCAATTTATATGTCACAATAGTCCACAACAATGTAACAGCTGAAGAGTTTGCTTATTTTCTTCCTCTTTGCACAGTTTTCCTAAGTATTGTGTTATTTTTCTCATTTTTATTAGCCAAGAAAAATTCCAAACTTCTAATTGTGATGTGGATGTCTGGTTGCATTTTTATCAGCTTTGAAGTCTCCACAGAAAAAGTCTTGAATAATTCTGAGAAGAATAAGAGACATTCTGTATTGCGTGTTTGACCAGCAATGTAAGGCGGTGGCCAGAAGCTTTAAATATGAAACCAGTCAGCTGTCTGCTCTTTCTGTGTCTTGTTAAGGTCTAAGCTGTTTAAATTGGGAAGTGGGGACGAAACAGTTAACTAAAGCACAGTTGAAACCCTTCAAAAAACCTCTGGATTTGCTCTCAGATAGTATCTTAGGCCATGATTTTCAAAACTGACATGCTCTTCTGAGTTTGTGTGTTAATAAAACCATTGAGCTAGGTTTATACCAAGTGGAGCATCACTTTTTAGAGCCCCTAATAATTCTACAGGAATTAATTATATGCCAATGTAAATTTTTGTTCCCCAGTCTGTTGGTGCTGCCAATATATTGATATGTCCTGGATGTATTAGCTGTATCCATAATTAAATTTAGCAGTATTTCCAGTAGTTAAATGCTAATGATGAGGTTCATTGATTGTTCTTTGCTTTTGATTCTTCTGAATAAAATTGATGAGGCTGACGGAGACAAGCCTAGTTCTGTAAATCTTGGGGAATTGGGTAGCCTGTATTAGGTAGCCAGCAGCCAACAGTAGCCATAAAGGCTGGGTGTGCAAGGAAATCTGCACAGTTTGGTTTCTCAGTTCTGATAACTAGTCGTCGTCTTGTTGTTATTGTAGTGTTGTAACATGTGCTTCTAAGTGCTGCACAAATATATTTTGTCCATTTAGCGAAAGATAGTCCCAATCTAGTCATCATTAATTGTCTAGAAAGGAGGTGGATGATGGAATTTGACTGGTGGAAAAGACAGGTAACAGAAGAGCGACAGAAGGACAAGGTGTATAAGGGTGAAGTGTATGGGTGATAAAACAGCAGGTGAAATGCAGTATAGATAAATGGAGGGTAATGCACAGAAAAAGCATCTTTGACTTTACTTATGCAGTGATGGGCTCTGAGCTGATCATGGTCACTGAGGAATGCAATTTTGAGACAATAATAGAGAATTCTATAAAACCGTCAGCCCAGTGTCGTGGGCAAGAAAACAAATCAATTGCCTCAATTTGAATTGTATCATTCTGCACACTTAAAATGTGGCATCATTCTGCAACTCCAAACATGTAGTGCAAACAACATCTTGAAAACTATGTTCAGGTCTGGTTGTGTTTTGGTTTGGTTTTATTTGTAATGCAAAGCTTTAGGAAACACATAAGAAATTACAGTTACCATACAACTAGTGATAATGGCCCATTTGATGTGAGAGGGCTTAGGTTTTGCAGTTTGGTTGGTTGGTTTAGTTTTTAAATACTGTGGCACCCTGAGGGAAATGTGAGGTAGCTTTCATCTTGTCCCAGATATTGTGTGTCCTCATAAGATTTTTAAGTAGATACAAGCTCCATTATCATAAGCTCTCCATGTCTTTTTTTGTTCAGTTTTGCAGGTTGGTTGGTTGGTTGGTTTAGTTTTTAAATGCTGTGGCACCCTGAGGGAAATGTGAGGTAGCTTTCATCTTTCAGCTTGTCCCAGATATTGTGTGTCCTCATAAGATTTTTAAGTAGATACAAGCTCCATTATCATAAGCTCTCCATGTCTTTTTTTGTTCAGAAATATGGAATTTAATACTCCTTGCGTTGTGCTCCTGCAAAATAAAATTATGGAGAAAGATTGTGCAATACTTACTGAAGTCTTACTTTCCAACTTTCCTTAAGGAAGAAGAGTCAGACAGTGAAGAAAATTTTATTGACCTGAATGTTCTAAAGGCACAAACTTACAGATCGGTAAGTTGTAACCCATCGGTCCTCTCTTGAGAGATTTTCACATCTGTAGCAGCAATTTACTTCTGTAGGATTTAAGTCAGAAAATCTTTGTATAGTCTAAACTTGAGAAAACATTCCAACTGAAATGAATCAGCTTGTTTTAAAAGAAAAATGTGCAGCCAGTTTCTAAACTGATATCACTGCAAGGTTGCTGGAAACGTTTGCAATAAATTTTTGCAGAGACTTAGGGAAACATGGTATTCATTATCTTGAATATATTTTAAATTTTTAATCCTCATCCCCCTTCCTGGAATGTATTATAATTTCTTATTATATACATTTCATTCTTTTCAATTTTAAGTATGATGAAAAGATGTATTTATTTTAATTCCTAATCTTTATGAATTCAAAGAAAGCTATTAAAGAAATCTGTTACATCTGTAGTCTAGATCATTCTGGATATAAATATTTTTCTGAATATGAACACTGTAAGCCACTGTAACATGATTTCTAACAGTTCTCATGGTGCATAATATTTTGTGTATAAACTTTGTGACTTTTACACAGGACATAAATGACACTGCAAAGCAAGAAGAGATTTTACAGTCCACGACAGATGCAGCAGAGTGGAATCTGGAAGTGGAACGTGTGCTTCCACAGCTGAAAGTTACAGTCAGGACTGACAATAAGGTTTGCGAGAATGGATTTGTATGTGTGCACATGGCGATTAAAATGTGATTCCAATCAATGTTGTTTACTTTCCATTTACAATCTTTTTTCTTCTGTCATGCCAAGAATTGTGAATAATGGGTTCCAATGCTATCTTGTCTGAACATTTGTCACTTACTTTGACCCTAGAAGCAATAATTTTCAGGTTTTTTTTTTCCAATATTATAGAAGAATAATTTTTTCTGCTACTTACAGGGCACCTTATTTCTATGTATTTATTCAGTGGAAACTTCTTAAATTGTTAAACATTTCCAATGTACTCGCACTTCTGAAAAATTATACCCTCAGTTTAGCAGCTATTAAAACATCTTCCTGGAAGAGAACTGATGATCTTTCAACTGTTCCATTTGTCAGCCACATGAAAGGCTGATTGTATGGAGTTCATCTTGCTGAACTTTACATGACAATAAAGTAGGTCTGTACATCTGATCTAGTCATCATAGGCTCTCCTTCTATTTAGCAAGAAGTGAGTACTTTCCCAACTAATTTTACTTACCTATCCAGACGACAACCTCAAGATGAAATTCATAATTTCTTAAAAATGTGTATTTCTCTCCGTAATGTATTTCTCTCCGTAATGTATTTCAAGCAGTTTAGAATGAGCAGCTTAGAAGGAGACATCTATCTTTGGCAAGTCCAAACCTAGGACCTATTCCTGGCGTTGCCATAAGCATTCTTTCTAGGAGCTTGTATAGCAGACACAGATCAGTGCAGTATTGAAATTGCTCATTTGTAGTGACCCAGCTAGTTGGAGTGTTGGAGCAATCTGCAGCAGTGACACAGAATTCAATGCAAGATAATTATCTTGCCAAAAATAGGCTAAGCTCTCAACTGTCTGCTAAATTGCTTGCCTGTCTTACACTATACTGCATTCTTCTATGTGAAGAATTGCCTGGTTTGAGCCACCTTTCTGTGATCCTCGGCAAGCCCATCTGTTACACAGAACATGATGCTTGATTCTCACAGTAAGAAATCAAAACTTAATAAAGAAATACATCGAAAATTAAAGCCACTGTAGGAACTGAGGTTTACTAGCTTCCAGTTTAATGCACCATGTCTTGGCTTTAAGGAATATGTCAAAATGAACACGAAAAGAGGATTCTTCTTTTTCTAGCTTCTGTGCTTTCATGCTTTCAGAAATAACTGGAGAGAAGTGTTTGGCCTTTTTTAATTCTACAAGAAAAGCATCATATTCTGTTTCCTGAGCTGTGCATGTGAACGTAATACCAGGAGAGGGTTAATGGTTTAATCAGTGGCGTTCAAAACTAGAACTTATTTGTAAAGTCCTGGGCAGAGGGGGGAGGTGGTGGGGGGTTGTGTGTTTGTTGCTGGTTTTATTTAAATTCCAAAGTTCAGCAAATTGTGAACAATTGTCACCAGACCAGCAAAAGATCGTGAGTCTGCTACAAACTTAAAACTCAACATAAGCACGTTTCCTCTACTAGCCTTTGTTTTTTTCTGGAAGAGAACAGTGGGCAGCAGCACGATTGTAGACAGCGGGTGATCGTCATGGGCTGAACAGCTGTTGGAGATGCTTGGCTGTGCTCTTCTGAGATAGTGAGACAGAAGCATCAGTCCTTTGCTAGTTATGTGCGTGTCCTATGCAGGGGGATAGCCTCATTTCAAATCAGTGGAACTGCCTGTGATTGAAGGGTGGCATATGTTTAAGTGTGCAGCTGTTTTAAGCCAGGATTTGGTTTGTACCTGTACATTATAAGTGGCTGTATCCTCCAGGAGCTCTAGGATCAGGAATTGCTCTTGCTCAGGTCCTGCAGCCCAGCCCCGTGTGCCTGGGGATGTATGGGTCCCCATCCCAGACTGACGGATGAAGCTGCTGCTTCTTTCCTGTTTGCAGGTTCAACCAATAGCAAAGTTAAGCACGTGTCATACAGACATGCAAAGGACCCTGACATGGCCAGCTACACAAACTGCCATAAACAAGGTCCTGTCTTGGACAGCACTTGTAGGACTCCCATAAAATATAAGTATAGACAACCAGGCCCCCTTCCTCCTCTTCAGCTAATTAAGATTGAAGTTCAATAGTTAAAGCACACCATTCCTTCTCTTTAGATTCACAAGCATGTGCGCATTCATGGATCCCTCAACTATCAGCATGGTCCTCTGTCTGTCTGATCCCCCCTGCCTGCATCCTGGGCCCCTTTAACTCTTTCACTGCTTTTCTGCTTGCCGGCTGGTTCAGCTTGATGCTTGCCAGCAAACAGATGGGCACACTCATGCGCTTGTCTTAAGGGCACTCTGTTTTTGTGGGTCCCCCTCAGTGCCAGCATATACCCTCTGCCTGACTCATACCCAGGACTAGATCTCGACTACTACTTGACAGCTAGTTCAGTTTTAAGTCTGCTATTGAATTTTACATGTGCACAGCAGGTTTAGGGAGGATGCAAACGCTTGTCTCTACCTCAGCAGCTGGCACCAGCAACACAGGCTTGTTACCCTCAGTCCCCCTCCAGCTGCTGGCGCTGAGCCCCTCACTTGCTTTACTTGCACCAGTCCTTCCCAGTAGCTGGATTTTGAGATATATACCTGTCTTGCCTTGGTGGCCTCATCTGCTCCTGTGGCTGGTACTGAGACGCCCACTCGTCACTGGTCTCCACTTGGACATTGAGCCGTTGACCACAACCCTTTGAGTGTGACTATCTGGCCAGTTCCTTATCCACCGAGTGGTCCATCCATCAAATCCAAGTCTCTCCAATTTAGAGAAGAGGGCGTTGTGCAGGACAGTGTCAAATGCTTTGCACAAGTCCAGGTAGATGATGTCAGTTGCTCTTCTCTTATCCAGCAACACTGTAACCCCATTGTAGAAGGTCATCAGATTTGCCAGGCACGATTTGCCCTTAGTGAAGCCATGTTGACTGTTACCGATCACCTCCTTATTTTCCACGTGCCTTAGCATAGTTTCCAGGAGGATCTGCTGTATGATCTTGCTGGGCACAGAGGTGAGACTGACTGGTCTGTAGTTCCCAGGTTTTCCTTTTTTCTCTTTTTAAAAATGAGGGTTATGTTTTCCCCTTTTCCAGTCAGTGGGAACTTCACCAGACTACCACGACTTCTCAAATATGATGGGTAGTGGCTTAGCCACTTCGTCTGCCAGTTCCCTCAGGACCCGCGGATGTATCTGATCGGGTCCCATGGACTTGTGCACCTTCAGGTTCCTTAGATGGTCTTGAACCTGATCTTTTACAGCAGGCGGTTCTTCATTCTCCCAGTCCATGCCTTTGCCTTCTGCGACTTGGGCATTGTGGCTGGAGCACTTGCCAGTGAAGACCGAGGCAAAAAAGTCTTTGAATACCTCAGCCTTCTCCATGTCCTGGGTAACCAGGTCTCTCATTTCCTTTCAGACAGGGCCCATGTTTTCCCTAGTCTTCCTTCTATCTCCAGTGTACCTGTAGAAGCTTTTCTTATTGCCCTTGATGTCCCTGACCAGATTTCATTCTATCAGATAATTAAAAAATAATTTAGTAAGAAGATAGGACAGACTGCAGTGGTCAGGCACAGGGCTCAGTCAGGCCCAGTGGACTGACTGACAACAGTTTACATACGACCAGCCTCTCCCATACCCCTCTCTGTTCCCCACTTTGTTGCTCCCCAGTCCCCTTCCCCTGCACATTGCTTCATCAGTTGCAAAGGTCTGTGTCTCTGTAGGTTTTGTTTTTTTCCCCTCCTCCTTATCATCTGATTTTGGCAAGGTCCTTGATCAGGTAATTGTACTGACATAAACATTCTCACACTCCCCATGCCCTTATCCATTAATGTAACTGGCTAGGTTTGTTTCTTGTTACTGCCTGCATTATTGTTTGTCGGTCAGTTTTGTGCCTCTCTGTTTTGCTTAGCGTCCTTTTTGACAAGGTCCTTGATCACATAATCTTACTGAAGCAAACACTGTCACTTTCCACATATCCTTACAGTACCTATCTTACAAGAAAGTCTCTTAAGGTTTGATTTCAAGTGATAAAGATTTATTAACATCACTTTTTTTTTAACACCTAGACCAGTACAGTGCCAAAAGCTTAAAAATCTTAAAAATATTTTTTAGCATGTTCAGAAACACAATACTGAAAGAGCAGTAATTCTGTAGTGCTGCTGCTCTGCTTCATTGTGGACTCACAGTCTGTCTGCAGCTGTGGTTTGGGTCTGGGAGATGTAAAACATTTGTATTAATAAGGAGAAATTTGTGATAAAGCTTGAGAACTGGAATTGATTTGTAAGTAAAAGATACCTACCTATCAAGTTAAAACAGCACCTTTTCTCATCCCCCATCTCTGAGTCTATGTATGTTTCCTACGACCTAGAAGCTGCAAATAGTTTCCCCCCGTCCTAATTTTGTCCCGCTATCAAAAAGAAGTTTAGGTATTTCTGCCTCTCTCATTTCTTTCTGTTCTTCTGATAATAGTAAGGGCTAAGTAGAAAGGAAAGATGTGATAGTCTGGAACTGGTAGGTGTTGGGCATTTGAAGCACTCATTTTGTCTAAGAATAAGCTGAGCTAGTGCAGCTATAATCAATATTTTCAGTATTTGTGCCCAGAGTGGTTTCTAGCAGAAATAGTTCCATGAAGATCAAACAGACTCTAAAAAGCATAGCTACTATAGTGTCAGTGAGGATGTCAGCATCTGTTTATGGATCTGAGTGTCATATGTGACATTTTTGAGGTTTATAAATTGTGTCACAGTAAGCAAGTGCCTCTGGATATGAACATGGCAGTGGCAGAGTGATACACAGTAATAGTATAAAAGAGAACTGACCCTGCCTTGCATACCAGCCTTTGTTTAGTAACCAGAGAAAGATAAAAGTTGTACTTGCCTATATTTTACTTTGTGGCATCTTTTTTAGGATTGGAGGATTCATGTAGATCAAATGCATCAGCATAAGGATGGAATTGAATCTTCTCTGAAAGAAACTAGGGTATGTCTTGTATGTCCAAAATATTTCGCTCATCTGTCAGCATTTTTATTTTCTCTTTCATTTGATATACGTTAAGAACTAAATTGTTTTTTTTTTTTCTTCATTTTATTTGTCCTAATGCTGTAAAACTAAAAAGGGAAACATATGATTCTGATGATTAGGGCCAGTGGGACTGGCAAAATACCTTGTGGGAAAGAGCTCTATATGTGAGGATTAACAGGGATATTAGGGTTCATTAACATATGCGTTACTGTAAGTACATTCTGACTACAGGGGGCAAAACAGAATAATACAGTAATACAATCTGAAAATAAGCGCTGATAAACTCAAAATACTGTCAAATACTGTTGTTAGAGTAACCTACTGACATTGACATTTGTAATTAATTGAGGAGGGGAGAGTGATGGAAGCAGTAAAGCTTGAAATATGTGTTTTGGAGGTGCGCAAACCAGAACACATTAGGAATAATTTTTTGTTCCTAAACATAGCATTTCCGTACTATTTTTCTCTCTCGCTTGTAGGTTTCCATATCCTTTCTTAATTACAGCACTATTTGAATACTCCTTGCGTACTATCTGTATAATGTCAACCCACAGAATATGATTTTCTAGGGTTACCTTGACAAACTCCATAATGAAATCAGCAGAACATTGGAAAAGATCAATAGCAGGGAAAAATACATCAACAATCAGTTGGAGCACTTGATTCAAGAGTACCGTTCAGCACAAGCCTTGCTGAGTGAGGTAATGAACTGATCTTTTGTTGTTGCCTTCTCTAGTATTAACTTGCTGTTAAGTGACGTTGAAGGCAAAGAAGACTCGGAGGAGTTATCTCTGAATTTTGCTGTTGGATATAAAGCAGGGGAAATATTGACTGGCTGTCAAATTATATAGTTTTTAAGCTAAACTAGCAATTTTTATTCAACTGTTCTTCAGGGGAAAGTAAATGTTTTTTGCCTGAATATTATGTAAATCTGTTGCCAATCTTGAGCAGCTAGTAAATTGCTAGTTCTGCTTTCCCTGTGAAGTTCACACATCTGTGATGAGTGGAAAAACTACAGTCTCAGTCCAGCACTCATCTCTTATATTGATTACTTGTGCTAACGTGCACAAAGCACTCTGATTACTTCTTTGCTTCCTTTAGTTTTTATGCCAATAGAATGCTGTTTGAGAAGCTTTTTGATCCCCTAGTTAGGAGGCCTGTATAAGCTGCTATTTGGCTAGCCCTCCTATTTGTGGGCATTAATTAAAATAAGGGTAACAGGATTTGACCTCTGTGCTTTCTGTTTGCCTTACTGTTAATCTTTAAGAAACTTCAAGATAGTCATTTACTATTGACGAAGAAGTGCTCTGGGTTTCAGGATTCAATTCTGTCTTCATTCTGGCAAATTTTTTTTATTTCTTCATGTAAATGATTAGAAGGTGTACTTCTTCTCATGTATGTATTACAGCTATTACAAATTTTAAAACTGCTTAAAATTTTTGAATGATAGTTATTACAAGGGCTGATGTTTCAAGCCTGTCCTCCTATGTGTAGTGCTGTAAACGTCATTGGGACTTCATGGGAGAGTTTCTGGAACTGAGACGTGTGAGAGCAAGTTTTGGTGTTTTCTGAGCTATCTGCATACATCTCTTCTACTTTGTCATTACAGCAAAAAACATATTTCTTTCTAGGCTAAAGAGCAGTACCAGGAAGGAAGTGGAGGAGTAACTGAAAGGATTAAAGTGCTCTCTGAGGTAAAACACATATTCCCATAATTTCTTTTGCTTATTTTAAAACAATCTTCAGAGAGTTGGCATTTAGTGTTTGCAGTTTTATGAACCTGGTTCTTTCTGATTTGTTCTCATGTTAAAGATTAATCTGTTTGTTTAGTGGAAGCAATCTAGTCCAGTCCCTAAATTTTAAACCCAGGCTGCCATTGATTCTTAACTTGTGAATTTCACCAAACTATTATGAGCTCTTAATTTCCGCAGTTTGTAAAAGAGGGTAAATGTTCTGTATTGTATAACCTATGTCCTAGAATTACTGAGGATTAATCAAGGCATGTGCATAAATTCTTTGGAAGACGAAAAGCTTAATTCTTATTTTTAGTTAAAATGAACAATTCAAAATTTTCATCTTCCAAGCACTTGAAAGCAATATTTGACTAAATAGTAACTTTTCCATATCAGTTAAATTATGTTAATACCTAGAACTGTTGTTCTGTTCTTTAAATCAGTGCTCTGACAAATTTAAAGAAAAATCCCCAGACTCCTAACTGCCTCAACATGTTGAGTGTTTCATAGCATTTCATTTAGAATTACAGCCTGATTTCCAAATATTTCAACCCTCTGTCCAATTCAGAATTTTTTTTTAAACAGCTCTGTTGTTTGGGTTTGGAAAATCCACTTTATTTATTAGACAATAAAGCATCTGGAATAGTCACATAAAATAGATCACATCATAAGAATGCGCCGGAAATTGTAAAACAAGTTGGAGTTGTTTTAGAATAGAATAGTTCAGTTGGAAGGGAGCTATAATGATCATCTAGTCCAACTGCAGTAGGGAATACAGCTGTTTAACAAGAGTTTTCTAGCAAAGATTTCTGAGTGTATGGATTCTGCAGAATTAGAGCTTCTTTCTATTTCACTCTCAAGGAAGTAAGTTTGAAAAAGAGAGCACTTTACGATGACTTCAGATTTATGATATGTTTGTGCTGTGCAAGTTATTGATTGATTACTAATGATGAATACATTGCTAGTTGGCAGCTTTCAAACTCTGTAGATGCGGTGGTGCATATCAGGGATATTACTACTGATCTGCTTTCAAGCATGCAATCAAACCTCAGCCCACTTGGCAATACCAGTACCACTGTAGGTATGCAATAACAATGCAGCGATGTTTCTTTTTTGTTACTGAAAAGGCTTACTGAAGCCTTAAGGAAGGGCTATTTTTATATTATAGACAAAAATCCTGAATTATTACCTAGACTGTACCTTAGAATTATATATTTGCTTTTTCTTCATTGTCTACAAAGGCAAATTGGTCAATAGATAGTCAGTGCTGAAACGCATTTGTATTCTTCATACATGCATTTTGCATACCCGTAGCTGTGCCAGCACCAGCAGGCTTGACTG